GATTTTCGAACGTACCAATCAAAAACTAAAATCAAATATTTCAATGCAAGGCATAAATAGACCCCAGTTCTCTTTTGTCTAGTTTTGTGTCTACGCCAGTCTACTGATTTTCTTTATTGTTTTCTGTTTCCAATTTCATTGGTTTCTGATCTTTTAATTATCTTCTTCTTCTTGGGTTTCTTACACTCTTCTTTTTCTAGTTGTTTAAGGTGAAAAACTTTGATACTTTTAAAGAGGACTAGAGCAAGGAGGTATTAAGACTAATTACAAACAATATTAAGCTTATGAACAAGCAATAGCAATAAAGACACTGTGATATTGGCAGCGAGATAGATGCACAGGCCAATGGGTAACAGGAGAGAGCTCCCAATGGACTCCTGTACGTGGAGCCTGCGTATATGATGGGGATGGCCCTGCACTTCAATGGAGAAAGGATGGGCTATTCAGTAAACGGTGCTAGGTTAATCAAGGATCTCTATAGAAAAAAATAGAACTCTTCCTTCACACTGTGCATAAAAATAAGCCTGTGGATTTAAATTTCTAAATATAATGATCAAAACTATAAAGTATTTATAATACAGGAAAATGTACTTATGAGCTCAGGTTAGGGAAGGAGTTCTTAAACATGACAGAAAAAGCACCAATCACAAAGGAAATGATTGATATATTTAACTACACTAAAATTGACAACTTCTGTTCATCAAATGATACTATCTTATTTATTTTTTAAAAGATTTTATTTATTTATTTATTTTTTTGAGAGCAAGAGAACACATGGGGAAGGGAAGGGGACAAGCCGACTCTGGGCTGAGCAGAGCCCAATGTGGGGTTCGATCCCACCATCCCAAGATCATGACCTTAGCCAAAACCAAGAGTTGGATGCTTAACTAATTAAGCTGCCCAGGCGCCTGGAAAGATAATATTTTAAAAAGGAAAAAGATGAGCCATACACTGGGAGAAGGTATTTGCAATGCACGTAATTGGTAAATGATTCCTATCCAGACTACATAAAGAACTCCTACAGCTCAATAAGAGAAAGACAAACAACAGAACAGAACAGAAACATGTGCAAAGGGCTTAACAGTAATTTCACAGAAGATGAAAAATAAGTGGCCTATAAACATGTGAAAAGATGCTCAACTCTGTTAGTAATTAGAGAAATGCAAATTAAACGGTAATGCCTTACCATTTTACACCTGCCAGTTTGACAAAAGTTTAAAAGTGTGACAAGCTTGAGGAGCAACTGCATACCCTGCTATTGGGAGTACAGATTGAACTGCCAGGTTCAAAAACAACTCAGCGTTATCCAGTAAAGCTGAAGACGTATGTACGACTCGGTTAAGTAATTCTGCTCCTGCTTGGCATTCACACTAGACAAATCTTGCAATGTGCAGCACGAAGCTCTTAAAAGAAAGCTCATAGCGGTAATGTTTTAATAGCAAAAAGCTGAAGACAGCTCAGATTCCATTAGCAGTAAAATGGATAAATAATTTGTGTTGTTTGCATACAATGGAATACCGTACAGCAGTGAAAATTAATAAATGACTCCTGGCTGAATCTCAGGAACATCATGTTGCATAGAAAGTGCAAATAAGCAGAAGAATCTGTACAGCATAATTCCACTTATGCAAAGTTAGAGAAACATGCAAAACTAAACAATACCTACAGAAGTGGTAAAACTATAAAGAGAAGCAAGGGAATGACAGACACAAAGTTCAGGATGGTGTTTACATCTGTCTGGGGACGGTGGGGACATGAGGTAGAAGGAATCAGATGAAAGACTATATGCACTACCTTCCATTTTTCACATGTTTTTCAATGGGGATGTCTTATTAGTTTTATAATAAAAACCTATTAAAAACTTCTTTTATTGACTTATTTATCATCTCTGAAAAATAGAACCTGAAATGAGTACTTGAAACATTCAACAGTTGTTGAATTCTGTGCTTATCATTCATGGAGTGAATAAGTTCATATTAAGGAAAATCAATTAACTGATAATTAATATTAAGGAAAATGGATTGGCTAACTGTGAACAAAATTAGAGTGTCGATCCCAAAGCAAAATGACCGAGCTGGCCTCCAGACACTAGATCCAGGCTGCCTGGGATGGAAACTGGCTCTCTGCCTGTTCTTAAGTAGTTTTTTGATCACTTCGTTCCTCAGTTTCCTCATCTGTAAACTGGGCCTAATGATAGTGAATCCCTCATAGGGGAATTTTCAGGATTATATGAGTGAATGTCAAGTGCTTAGAACAGCACACACAGGGGCGCCTGGGTGGCTCAGTTGGTTAAGCGACTGCCTTTGGCTCAGGTCATGATCCTGGAGTCCCGGGATCGAGTCCCACATCGGGCTCCCTGCTCAGCAGGGAGTCTGCTTCTCCCTCTGACCCTCTTCCCTCTCGTGCTCTCTATCTCTCATTTTCTCTCTCTCTCTAATAAATAAATAAAATCTTAAAAAAAAACATTTAAAAAAAAAGAACAGCACACACAGTAAGCACTGGGTATAAGCTTACACACACACGAAGCACTGGGTATAAGCTTGCATGTAAATAAATAAACCAAACAAAGAGCAGAGGGGCTTGTGAAGGACTGGGGTGGAGGGGCTGCTGAATTTTCAAGGCATCCTCACAATCCTGAAATAGCCTGGGCCTGAACTTTGCACACTGAGACAGCTTTGTGTCTCCCTTTTAGAGATTAAGAAAGGAGAAAGGTATTTTGTGGCAGAGAGCTTATGAAAGCTCTGGAGAGCTGCCTGCTGACAAGAGAGTGACAGATATCACTTCAAACCACATCACAAAATGCATGCAACACCACACAACACCTGACTGTCCCGGGAACCCTGCTCCAGGGAGGAATTCGGGGATCTCAAGCACACCGTGGGTCCAGTTATCTGAGACCCAGCTGCTTGCTTGCAGGTCCCATTCCCTTTAGCCTGGTTGTTTGGTCGACCCCACATGTGCCGGGCCACTTTCCCCCCTTGATGTATCCATGGGAGAGGAGCCTTGCGTTGCCAAGGGGGGCCCCATTCTGGGGATAAGTTTGAGGCGCCCTGATTCTCGGAGCCGCTCAGCTGCTGGAGCCTGGGGCTCGGGGACCTGTGAGGGACTGTCTTGCTGCAGGAAGCACCACACAAGCACCTCACACAAAGAATCAAGGCTGCCTGACGTCTACCCTTGCCAAAGATTTGAAATGAGTTTCTATTTACAGGGCATTTTCTAAATCGTGTTACACGCTATGTTTACTTGCTGACATTTTCTCCTCAGAGACGGGAAACTAGTCTCTTCTCTTTCCTGGATGGTGAAATGGCCTCTTGCTCTTATCATGCTGCTGGTGACAACCATGGATCCATTCCAGAAACATTTACTGAGTGCTTGCTATGTACCGATTCCTCTACAATTGACTCCAAACCCATTCCTGCACCCGAGTGGGGTGCAGGCCAGCACTCTGCATCACCGACTAGCCTAGCCCAATAGTTGTTGCCAAGGAAGACCATTTGTCCTGTGGTAGAGTTGTTTGAAGTCATGCCTAACAGGACCTGCTTTTACATCTTTTAGCCTTCTAGGCCCCTTAAAAAAAGCAAGCCATTCTTTGGAATTACATGCTTCAACAGACATCTGTAAGGACTTGTGCTGTAATGATTGTGGTGGTTATTTTTAGTCTAGATGCGGCCCAGAACCTGCTTTCGCCCTCCCCACACCATGTCAGGTGCTGGTCCGCTTGGAGATGGCCTTGGCCTCCACTGGAGGGCTTTCTAGCTGGTGTGGCAAACAGGGGCTCCCAGAGCGCCCTCCGTGGCGTTTTCCACAACAGCTGTGCCCTCACAGCAGGACCCGTTTGGATCTGCAGAGAAGCTCCGAAGCCAGATGGCTGCCTGTCAGGGGACCTGGACCAGTCTCAGTCTAGCGGCAGGCTGAGAGGCATGTGACAAGGCCGGAGGGACCCTTCTCAGGCCGGACTACCTCAGTGCGACCATGTGCCTCTAGAAAAGAAAACGAGGACCCACGGCACAGACGGAGCAGCTCCATCCAGCCGAAGCCACTTCAGGCCCCAGGGAGCCTGCCGTTCAAAGCCACTTCAGGCCCCAGGGAGCCTGCCGTTCTGCCGGCCTTACAGCTCAGCTCCTTTGGGTCATCCGTCCCCTCTGCCAGCCACCAACTGCTACTCCAAGGGCGCAGTGTTCTCATCTGGGCAGATGCCACCTCATCTGGCTGTGTGAGGGACAGATGCCGGGAAAGGAGGCTTCCCAAGGCAGGCCCGCAACCGCTCGGCCCGGAATGGGCCTAGCCGGGGCTCTCTGGGCAGCCCCCACCTCCTGGCAGCTGTGGTGTGGGGAGCGGCCTGGCCCCCCCCCTCGTGGCCGCTGTTGGTGGTGACTCACCTCTGGTTCCCAGGAACGCTGTTATTTTTGGCCCCGATGTTATTAAGGTTGTGCCCAGATTCCCTGCAAATCAGCAATTAAGGAACACAGCCCCCCCCCCACCCCTGTGAAAACATGTGAAAAGCAGGGCCAGAGCCACAGGTCCCTGCAGACCCAGGGCCGGTTAGCACAGAAGGCCAGCGACTCCCCCACAGTCCTCTGCCCGTGCAAGGCATGCCGCCCGCATGCCGCCCCCATGTGGGGGCTTCGTCTCCTCCTGGAGACTCCTCCGGGCAGCCCCGGCTCTGGAAGACGCCCCCCCCACACCACCGCCCGCACCCCAAGCCCGCAGCCGGCCGAGGAGGAGAAGCGGCGGGCCGGCGCTCCCCTCGCCTCCCCGCGGCGCAGCTCTGTGAGGGGCTGGCCGGCCTGGTCGCGGCCCCCGGGGGCCCTCGGCAGGGACTGCGCCGGCCGCGGCCTGGGGAGCGGGAGGCGGCGAGGGCGCCGCTGTAATCTGCCCGCCGCAGGCGGGCGCCTCCCCTCCGCCCGCGCGCTGAGCTCCCGGGGGCCGCCCGATAGCGCGCCTCTGCCGCCGATAAGGCCGTCGGAGGGCCGCGCGCCGCGGCCGCCTAGCCCCAGACGGCCCCGGCCCGGCACAGGCGCGGCGCGTCCCGCAGCCCCAGCTGCTCCCACAGCGGACCGCGACGGACCACAGCGGACCCCCCGCGGGATCCTGGTGAGGGACCGGCATGCCCTTCCCGAGGGGCTTCTTCAAAGTGAGTGCTCCAGCAGCTGCTCGGAGGCGGGGTGCTTGGGAAGGGCGAGGAGCCGGCGAGGGCGGCGAGCAGCGCAGCTGTCTGTCGGCTCACCTGCGTGCACCCCCTGGGCTCCAGGCTTTGTAGTAGCGTCAGCACTCATTCGCTTGGGCGCTGAAGGCGGCAGGTGGCCTCTGCTTGGCTCAATTAGTCCAGTTCATATGTTTTACAGCCCGAGATCTGCTGTCAAATTGAGTTCCACCTACCTGGTTCTCTGAATTATGTTCTGTCTGCATTAGGGGTTGGGAAGAATAATCTTTGGATTATATCCCTTCTTTGGTCTATTGGGATTCTAGAAGCTTTCCTTTGAGTCCACGGAGCAGTGTGTATTTCCGGTGTGTTTTCACAGGCCAGTGGCCCTGAGAATTTGGGCTGCTCTGACAGGGGGCCTGGGTCAGCCTCATTTGGAAGGGGGCTTGCTTGTTTACTCAATGACCCACAAAAGTCAGTTACCTCATGGTCACACCTTCCCTGTTCTCGAAACACTGAACTTTGGATTTCTGTTGCTAACTTACTAGAGGGAGAAAAGTCTAAGACAGAGGGGCAAAAGCTCCAGAGTGGGAGCTAGGGTCTGACGGATATTCTTTAAGGGGCAACAGAGCATCACAGGGGGTCACCCCACCCCACCCCCAATTCTCCTGTGGTGATAGGACATATCACAATGTAGCAGCACCACTGCTGGACTGTTTTTTAAGTGTCTTGTGTCAGGGTGTGGTTGTTGGTTTTGGTGGGGGATTCAGAGGCCAGAGGTGGACCCCAGGCCACATGCTCAGAGGGACCCTAGTGGAGTCACCTGGGAGAGCATGCACCCTTCTGACCTGTGTAAAAGTGTGTGGGTACAAGGGAAACCATATGAAGTGGGAATTTCTTTTTAGCAGTTTCACATCTTCACAACTCGCCTTCCTGATGACTAATTTTCTTCCCCAGGAAGGGAGGGTCTGTGCAGGAACCTGGGGACTCTGGCTTTGAGCCTCACCAGCAGCAAGCAGGAAGCAGGTTATGTGCAGCTGAGGCTTTTCCTTTCACCGGGTAACCCTAGGCCACGGTTTCAAACGGAGTCTTGGAGGCTGTTCGTGACAGACCTCAGAGCTCGGGGAGGAGACCGTGAGTGGTGCAGGAGGCGCAAGAGCGTCTCCAGACCCAAAGACAAGCCCAGCGTCTTGCAGGAATAAGGAATGCATTATGACAAATGTTTCAAATGAGCGTGATGACTTTCACCAACCAAATAGCCTCGGGAGAGCCTCATTTTGTGTGTGTGTTTCTTTCTGGCTACTGGTCCTGTGCAGCTGAACATGGAAACAGTAGAAAAGGAAGCACAAGTATAGAAGGTTGTTTTTATAAGCAGCGTCGTATAAACTCAGCTGACCCTAGACTTCAGGGGCCAGTTGCAATTAGTTTCTAAATCCAGGTTGTCACCCCTTCCCCCCAAATGATTTGGCCAGTGTCTTTGAAAAATCAGCTGACTTATTTTGAATTTAATCAAAGGGAAGCATATTGAGAAAGACTGTTGTTGCTGTTGCCAAAAAAAATAAAAGAGAGAAAGTAAGAAAGATGGTAAAGGCACTGAAAATCTTTGTCCTCAAGGTCTGTTCAACGTTTAATAAACATTCATCAAGTACCTGTGTCTGTCAGGTCCTGTTGTAGGCACTGGGAATACAGGCAGGGAACAGAGCAGGCACAGATCCCTGCCCTGCAGAGCTTACCCTCCAGCAGGGCAAGGAGACAGACTGGAAACAAAATAAATGAGTACTCATTTGCTGAAAGATGAGAAGTGCAGGGGGCGGGGAACATGCAAAGGGTCTTAGGAAGCTTGGGGCATTCGCAGTGTCAATAAGGCACTCAGAGAGAGCCTCAGTGAAGTTCACGTCAGCTGTTGTGTTTCAAACTTAGATTCCACGTGACTGTTAATAAGGATTACAATCTGATGTCAAGAATCTTAAATAGGAGACTTTGTCGATTATGAGAAGCTACATATTTTTCAGTTACATTCTCACTGTTGAGATGGATTACCCGTAGAATCCAAGAGAACTCGTGATACTTGGGGATGCAGTTATCTGTGTCAGGTTCTTAGGGTATTGAGTTGGAGGCTTTTCTTTCTGGCTGGCCCACCTGGTTCGATGACATTTTAATCAGGTCTCTGCTGTCTGTGGCTAGCATTTCTAATGTCAAACTGCTGATGATTGTATTTATCCATTATGATTTGGGGGAGAAAATTTGTAAGATGGCCAGTTGAATGGGCACTGACAAACATGATGATCTTGGTTAGCAGCATTCTTAAAAATAAAGAATATTGTTTTTTGTACCTCCCTTAAAAAAAAAAGCAGCTGAGCAAAGACGTCAAGGAGGTAGGAGAGGGAGCCACGCACAACTTTGGCGGAAACAGCACATGCAAGTGTCCGGAGAAAGGTGTGAGTTGTGGGAAGAACCAGGAGACCAGTGTGGCTGGGGCAGAGGGAAGAGGGCAGAGTCCAAAAGCCTGAGGTCAGAGAGGTGGTAGGAGGGAGAATGGGGAGGGGGTGGGGTACAGAACATCTAGGGTCTTGTATACCATTGTAAGAACATTATTTTTACTCTGAGAGAGACAAGAAGCATTACACGATCTGGGGATTAGACACATGGTATGATTTGACTTCTTCCTCTACCTCTGACTTCCTAATGCCTTTGAAACCAAACTCCCAGGAATGGGCTACCAAAAAAAAAAAAAAAAAAAAAAAACCCACCTACTAGAGTGTGGCAACGCAGTAATCACTGACCTCTGGTGCATTTGTTCTTAGCCTTTTTTCCTCTGGGATACACAGGACTGATTGTTGACATGGTTCTGCATGATATATTTCATGGTCATACCTGGGTATTGATAATCCCCTTCTCCCTTACACTCTCCAATTTAATGAGAAAATAAATAGTGCCACAGATGCTCTTTACTTAAAAAAATTGTCACGGGTAAAATTAAATAGAAAACAGAAGCCACTATACAGTCACGATTCATATGCAGCACAGTGATGTGTAATCACAGCGGCTGATCCTTCGCTGCTTCCTTTGGACCTCCACATGGATAAAGCGGACTATGGTTCTGGAACACGAGCGGTCAGGAAAGCTTATCGGGTGTAAGCATGTGATGGCAGAGTTGCCACAGAGGGGAAGCCTTGCATCTGCTCTAAGTTTCAAAAAGTACGAATGGTCTTCCTACAGGGCATCTGGCCCTCCAGGACCCCTCCTTTACACACAACCACGGTGATTTTGTAGAAAGGCAAGTCTCGCCATATCACTCCCCAACTTCGAATATTCAGTGACTTGGGGCACCTGGGTGGCTCAGTGGGTTGAGTGTTGGACTCTTGATTTCAGCTCAGGTTATGATCTCAGGGTTGTGAGATCCAGCCCTGTGTCGTATTTGGGCTTCGTGCTCAGCGGGGAGTCTGCTGGAGCTTCTCCCTCTCTCTCTGCCCCAAACCCCACTTGCGCTCACTCTCTCTCTCAGAAATACATAAATCAAATATTCAGTGGCTTCACGTTCTTTAGGATAGAATCCAGACTCCTTAACGAGACCCCTCCTGCCCTGGCCTGCCCATCTTTCCCACCTTGCTTCCTACCTCTGGCTCCATGAGAATTGCTTCGGGCACACCAAACAGGCTGCACTTGGAAATTTTTATATTATATTTGTAAGCTCCACCTGGGGGGCCATGTGCTTGTCTGGTTCGCTGTTGTATCCTAGGCACGTCGCATGGTGCCCGGCCAGTAGCAGGCGCTCATGAAGTGTTGGTTGCGTTCATGAATGAACAACAGACTGCTTGCAAAAACACCTCACGACCGGTTCCTGCTCACTAGTTTGGTCACAAACCTGCAATCAGAAATCACTGCCCTGGTGGTTTCTATGTTGACCTTTAAGATACTTTGCTGTTGGGATTTTTTAAAAATTCACAAGATAATTTCTCCTTCCTCAGAGCTCTCCTTGCACTTTCTCGGAACCTCCCTTAAGAGCCTTCTCATTGTCTCTCTCTTTACACTTATTTACACATCGGTCTCCTCCTCCAAGCCCGGGGTGGCAGGAGGAGAGCTGCAGCTCCAGCTGACTCACATTTGAGTCACTCCTCCTGTTTTCCCCGGCATCAACCACGTCTTGAACGTGGGGCTGAACTTGTCCGAACCCCGAGCATTGACTGAGTGTTAGGAATATGTTGGGTCGTTTATTTGGAAAATAAATCAACAGGCCCTGCGGGGTGGGGGCCGTCACAACCTAAGGCCCAAGCTGGCCGACCGACCTGCTTTCTCTGGTTGCGCAGTGTGGACTGAGGCCCGTGTGACTGCTCAGGCCACATTCGAAGTTTGTCATCATTGTCTGACAGGCAGTGACAACCAATTAGAGATCTGGTGAGAAACAGAATCGTTTCCTCCCCTGCCTCCCGCTCACCCTTGACCACACCATCCCTCTGCGGCTGGCTCTCTGAGTAGAGACTGATTTATCTCCTGAATTTACTGTCACGGCTCTGGAAGGAAGGCACATTAAGGGCGGAAGCAGTCCCACAGCTCCCACGCCTGGCCAACCAGCTGCTGAAATCTGCTTGGAGTGGAAGGTGGGGCGAGGACGGGGGCAGCCTGCATTGCCGGAAGGGAGAATTTGCTGAAGGGCAGATTAAGACCAACAAAACCATCAAACAGCCCCCGCTCTCCTACCCAGGGCCTGGAACCCAAGCTCCCTCCTGAGAAAGCTGCAGGCACCAGCTGTCTCTAGGAGACAGAAGGAGTCAGGGGGAAGCCTGTCTGGCCCTTCCCGGGACAATAATGGTCAGAAAACTGCTCTGCCCTTTCCAGGAGTGGATTGTGAAGCATTATTTTGTAAGAGAGAGTACCTGGTTTCAATTTCTTTTGGGAAGCTCGTGCCTAGAAAAGCTGAAAAGAAGCTGGCTTTGGTCCAGTCCTGTTCTCTGATGGCCCAGCCATCGATCAAGGCTGATGATGATTTGCTG